TGGGCCCGCCTGCCCGCCATGATCCCCGGCCTCCGGGCCTCCCATCGGGCCGCCTCTGTCCTCTCACCCGGGTCCTGTGGAGTTGGCCTCCCGAGATGCACTGCGTTGTAGTCCAGCGACGCCTCTGCGGCTCCGCGCGCTCTGGGGCGGCTAACGGCCCCCATCGAGCGCCAGGTTCAGCTTTGCGCGCTCCCCTTAGTGTTTTTAACGGGTAGCCTGGGCCGCTCCCATGATACACCGGTGTAGTCCCTGCCGCCACCAACCGCTTTGTGGCGAGGAGGGGCAGGGCGGGACTGAGGCCACGCCTTCCAGCCCGCTGAGCAATCAGGATTTGACTTTGGGGCCTCGGAGACAGGTACTCCTGCTTTGGGTTCCTCTCCTTCGTCCCTTCCACCCAATAGACCGGCTTCATCGTCTTGTCATTCTCTATTTCCCTGGAGACTGTGCTATTTTCTAGCTCAGGGCTCAGCAAATGTTTCCTGCAAAGGGCCAGGTTGTAAATGTTTTGGGATTTGCAGGCGGCAAAGACTCAACTCTGCAACTGTTCAACAGCCGGTGTAGCGCGAACGCAGCCATCACAATACTGAATGAATTAGCCTGGTTGTGTTCCAACAAATTTTATTTATAGACTCTTAAATTTCATATAATTTTCACCTGTTACATATAAATTTCATCTGTCTTTCTGTCACAGAATATTATTTTGATTTTTTTAATCATTAAAAAAATGTAAAAACCACTAGCTCACAGGCCTTACATTAAAAAGGGGGTGGGCCAGATTTGGCTGCAGGTGGGAGTTTGCAAACCCCACTTCTAGAGGGGTAAACTAATGGTTTAATGACCACAGCTGCTGCTCACACATCAAGACAGACAGGCAGGGGCCGGGCATAGTGACTCATGCCTGTAATCTCAGCACTTTGGGAGGCTGAGGCGGGTGGATCACTTGAGGTCAGGAGTTTGAGACCAGCCTGGCCAACATGGTGTAACCCCGTCCCTGCTAAAAATACAAAATATTAGCTGGATATGGTGGCATGTGCCTGTAATCCCAGCTACTAGGGAGACTGAGACAGGAGAATCGTTTGAACCTGGGAGGCGGAGGTTGCAGTGAGCCGCGATCACACCACTGCACTCCAGCCTGGGCGACTGAGTGAGACTCCATCTCAAGAAAAACACAAAAAGACAGGCAGGGTCAGAAGTGTGAGTCCTTGATTCCAAGGTGGCAAGTGTAATCAGGGAACTGAGAATTCATTATTTTTCTCTTGCTTGGTCCAGTTACCTACAGAAATGGCCCCTGCGATTACAAGACCAGGAGGTGGGTCTAGGCCCTGGGGAGAGGAGAAGGGGCTGGCAGTGCAGGAGCGAGAGTCCCAGGGAAAGGCCCACTCCCTGTTAGGGTGGGAGTTGAGACAGGTGCAGGCGCAGGATCTCCTCTGCCCGCTTCAGGTACTCAGCTGCCTTCTTCTTCACACCTTCCTGGCGGGCAGGCAA